TAATATGATGGATTATTAATTCAAGTTACAGCCTTTCTCCTTTCTAAGTGGAGTGTGAGAGTGAAAGCTCAAGGCTTATAATGATGGCTTATATATGAAGCACTATTCCATTCACTGCCTCACCTAGAGTCACCTCATTAGAACAAAAGATGCTCTTGTCAACCAGAAAATTCCAATGGCTTTGAATGATCCATGAAAGATGCTCCCACTGCTAAGGAAAGAATAAAGGTGTTAGTAGCTTTAAGTTAGGAACCAAGGTCAAGGTCAACTATTAAAAGGAAAGATGCTCCACTTGTGTCTCTCAGGAAACTGAAAAGGTGTTAGGAACTCTGTGCAGGAACCAGAGTAGAGATAAGTAGATACTTGTGGTCTTACTGCTCAGCCAGTCTAGCTGAGTAAGTGAGTTCTGGGTTCAGTGAGAGACCAGGTCTAAAAAAGAAAGCTGGGACCAGAACCCATATAAAGGTGGAAGGAGAGAACCAACTCCACAAAGTTGTCCTATGACCTCCATGCATGTTATGCAGCATGGTACCCCCACAATGTATCATGCACACATACAAAAAAATAAATAAATAAATTTGAGTTTGAATGATACAGTAGAGAGTGACTGAGCTTCATGGACACTCAACATCTACCTCTGGTCTACACACACACACACACACACACACACACACACACAGTCCCAAGAGAGAGAAAAGCATTGGGTTAACAGGAAACATCCCCTGAGAGCAAAAATATGTCCATTCAGCACTCAGTGTTATAAAAATGCAATTTTATTTGAAAGAAGAGTTTAAACTGAAAACACCACTATATTAGTCACTTTTCTGTTGCTGTGATAGAAACACTGACCAAAGCAACTTAGAGAAGGAAGAGTTTATTTGAGCTTATGGTTCCAGGGGAATTACAGTACATCATGGGGGCTGGAGGTAGCTGGAGCAGGAGCAGCAGAAGTTAAGCTCTCACATCTTCAAGCAGGCATAGAACACAAGAGAGCAACTGGAGATCTGGCAAGGCTTAAGAACTCTCTAAGCCTGCCCCCAGTGACATGCTTCCTCCAGCATGGCCACACGTTCTAAGACCTCCCAAAACAGCACCACCAACTGATGACAAAATGTCCAAATACTTGGAGCCTATGGGGGACATTCTCATTCAAACCTCCACAGCCACTGAAGGGGTTCACTGCTTGAAAAAAACCACCTAGGCAGTTCAAGGGGCCATGCCACATCTCATAGTAGCAGCAGAATTTTGCAGCCAATCTACATGGTACTGGTTTTCCAAGCATAAAGACTTAGGAGGTATGGATTATTGTACCAAAGAGCCACTATAGCCAGAAATGTGTGGCCAGCTTGGAGTTCCTGAAAGGCCATTTCACAAAGCTATAAAGGTAAAGCCCAAGTTGCAATGGAGACCATAGAATGTTGGAGATGCAAAGACCATGGGTTGCCCACTAAGGAAAGCTGCAGGCATGTACTGGTGAATGATAGAGCTGGAGCACAGGGCTACCCAAGCCCTTTGGAGCCCAAATTATTTCCTCAAGAGCTTTAGATGCAAATAGCTGCAGGATTTGGTGTTTGCCCTGGATTTGGGTCTGGTTTTGGTCCAATCTTTCCTTGCTATGACCCCATTCCTCCCTCTTGGAATGAGAATGTTTACACTGTTGCATACTGGAAGTGTGTAACTTGTTTTTTGATTTCACAGGGGCTCACAGTTAAGAGACTGTCTTGAGTTTCAGAAGACTTTAGACTTTTAAATAGTGTTGGTACTGTTAAAGACTATGAGAACTTTTTGAAGTTGGGCCAAATGTACTTTGCATTATGAGATGACCATGAGGCCATGGGAGTCAGAGGCAGAATGTTGTGATTTCAATGTGGAATGTCTCTCATAGGCTCATGTGATTGAACATTTGGCTCCCAGCTTGGGGCAGGCCTTGAGATTTGATAGCCCAGTTCCATTTTCTGTCCATTCTCTGCTTCCTGACTACAGATGCAATGTAACCACTTGCCCTGTTTCTACCTGTATGCCTTCCCTTGATGGGCTGTAGCTTCCCAAACTGTATGTCACAATAAATCCTTCCTCCCCTAAGTTGCTTCTTGTTAGGCATTGAGTCTCAGCAATGAGAAAGGAAAAGCAACAACAACAAATACAGGGAGTTTTTGGAGCACTGCCCTCTCTATATGACATGACTGTTACCATCTTAAAATCAGAGCAGCTATGATTACCACAGGAGACAAGATGACATTCTCTCATAGAAGGAGGGGATGTGAAGGGTCATTAGACCTTTACCTAAGATTGCCCCCACTCATTGACTCATGTTGTATATAATTCTTCCCCAGCTGTGTGTAGTCCAGGGTGGTGCTACTGTATATAGGAAGTAGAAGGTTAACTGAAGGTGACACTCCATCTACGCACCTTTTGGGAGGTTGTCATCTATGTGGGAGTGGAACTTTTCATTGATGGAGTTGAGGCAAGAGGATCAGGAAGTCTAGGCTAGCCTGGGGCACATACCAAGATCCTGTCCAAAAAACGAGAAAAGAAAATATTTTAAATGTTATTTGCTATGATTATTTATAAGCAGAGAAGTTATGAATTTCTCTGATATTATGAACAAATTTTATTTTCTCCTTGTTTTTGATTTTCCTGTATGTTACTGCCTTATTTATATAATTCTAGTAATAAGGCAGAAGATATTTTACTCTCATTTAAACAAGGAACTTTGTTTTTGGAATATAAAATGGTTACTTACAAAAAAATTAAGCAAGAAAATGCAAGTACAGATGTGGGAGCCCCTGGAGGGCATGGTCATGGTGGTACAACTGCACTGAGCTGAGGTATGATCTGGGGTCAGAAATGGGCTCAAGCACCATGGCCATTGGAGGAGGAGCTGGGGCTGATGAGGTCTTTTCAGTTCTCCCTACATTTTTCTGCCCAAGTTAGATAGCACGGGTCCAGTATCTGACCAAGGCATGCTGCCCTTTACCCCTGCCAATGGACCCAAGAGAGTGGGACTAGGATGCAAAGAAAGACCCTGGATTTGAAGTCTATATATCTGACTTCTGAGATGGGCTAACTAGGTATCTCAACTGAAATGTGTGCACTGGAAGAAAAGTTGATGTGATCTACTTTGCTATTCATTCATTAATGCTCTACCTGCTGAATTTCCCAAGACCAAATTAGAATGAGATTTTCCTTTTCCCTTTTTTTTCATTAAAAAATATTTTATTGAATTTTTGTATATTTCATACAGAAAATCATCTTTATGATTTAGCACCCTCCCACAGCCTCCCCACTGGAGTTCATACATTATGTCATTTGTGTTGAGGCCTATTATGTAAAGTTAGTGTCCCCAAATGTCTCTCAGTGAAAGTTCATCCACTAGGATCTACTCAGCCTATCTAGAGTCCTCCCTTCAAGAAGATCAGTTCTTGCTCACCCAGCAATAATCAGCTGCCAATGATTTTTTTACTAAGATTGGGGCCTGCTGTTCATTTCCACAGTTCTGTGCTGGGTTTTTGTCTGATTAAGTCTGCATGGTTCTTGTGCATGATGACACCATTGCTGTAGGTTCATGTGAGAAGAGTCCCAGAAGCATGTGCCCTGCTTGTTCTTTTAAAAATTCTTTGACAATTTCATACACATGTATTTTGGTCATTTTTCATTCATTATTACCTTCTCTAAACATCCCCCTTTTCCCACTGAACCCCAGTAAGTCCCCACATACTTCCATGTCTTTTTACTTATTTTTTAATTTTATTTGTTTGTGTGTAACCAACTGCATTTCATTAGGGTTGCTTGCATTAGGACGGGTGTTTACTGGAGCAGGGAAAACTTATCAGTGGTTATACCACTGAAGAAAATGATACCACTTCCCCTAGCAACCATTAACTGCCAATAGTTCCTAAGGGAGGAGAGGGGCCTCATGAGCCCCTCTCCTCCCCATTATGACATGCTGATGGATTTGTGCAGGGTAACCACAGTTGCTGTAAATTTGAGTGTAATGACCACGCCACACCCAGAAGACAAGCATTTCACAGCTTTCTTTCTCATCCATTGGCTCTTAGTCTTTCTACCCCCTCTTCTGCAGTATTCCCTGAGCCTTGATACAGATGTCCCATTTAGGGCTGAACATTCAACAGTCACTTATTCTCAGCACTTTGATCAGTTATGAGTCACTGCATTAACCTTCTCCCACTGCAAACAGAAGCTTGTTTGACTGAGACTCAGAGGAGCACTAATCTGTATGTATAAATATAAATATTTAGAAGGCAGTTCGACAGCATGTCCATTTAGCAGAACAGCAGTAGTAAAGTTCTCCCCTAGGCCTATGACCTCCCCAGCCATGGACTTTTGACCAAGTTTACAGTCATGATTTACCTCCTGTGGAGCAGGCTTCAAATCCAATCAGAAAGCTTAGAATGGACCTTTCTAAGTCAGCATGCTCCTTGGGTCTTGACCCCATGGCATGTTTCTGTGCATGTGGACAGCAGTCTCCCCTTCTCAGCAGGAACATTTCAAAGCTCTCCACTGGATGCCTGAAGCTATGGACACCACTGAACCCAATGCCTATGGTGAAGTTTAATCTATAAATGATACACAAAAAATACTGACATATTAATTTAAAACTAGAACAATTTCTAACGTACTACACTATTTAAAAATGATGGGTTATTTATTCCTGGAACTCTCGATTTAGTAATTTTGGACTATGGTAACTTTAAATGAAGGAAGTAAAGATGCAGATGTGTACCAGGGGGTCCGTGGGTATCTGCCAGGCACCGGACCTGGAGACCTTTGCGCAGGCATGCCATTCTTCCGCAGCCAACTTCCTCAAACTGCTAACCTGATATCTGCCACCCTGGCTAGAGACAGATGACGTGAAGGATACACCAATGGACAATAAACAGCTCAGCCTTCAGGGCCAATAGGGGAGGTTCGGGGCGGGAGTATAAAGAAAAGCCCTTTGTACGCAATAAATGAGCTTGTTGGCTTACTGCACAGTGAGTCTCCCAGAGACTGTGTCGTTGACTTTGTGTCTACTTTCCCCCTGCCCCCGACGGGTAAGCCCGAGACACCCAAAGGGCTAGCCAACCCCCTAGCCCCACAGCAACACAGATGAAGGGGAACTGCTGTGCTAGATCTTCTCCTGGTCGCTCAGGCTACTGTAAGTCTGTATCCCAACTGCACTAGGACAGTAGTGGTAGGTTGCCAAGAGATTGAAACTGAAGAAAACCCCTGGAGGGGGCACATGAGCCATAAGGTTTCTTGAAACTTCCTAACAAGCAAGCTAACAGAAGAGAGAAACTTCCTAAAGGTGTCCAGAGGCTGACTCAGCAGCTAGGTGGTAGCTGAAGGGAAATTTGCCGGAGGTTGGAGCAGTACTACGTCCACAGCACTTCTGAGGATCAGTATCAACAGCTGGACCAAGAGCACCTCTTCTCTCCCTTGTGGTGCTTCCTAGCACACCTGATTATGGGTGCAGGGTGTCTTAAGAGTTTAGACTCCAGGAGCAGTGACACTAGCTGAGCTTGCTGCCCAGCATTCCAAAGGACAGCTGACCTAGAGGGTGGGCAGAAGGCACGATTTCTTCCAGATAACTCTGATTTACCCCTAGTTCCCAGTACACATGAGAGAATGACAGTGGTCCTCCAGATAGCCATTCCCTGGATGTTCCCATCTTGGTTCATATTCATTGTCCCCCTAGAACTGCAAGATCCTTGGTGACAGAAAGGAGTGTTTCAGGGACTTGATGTAAACACTCTTTCTCTATTAAGGATCACAGAGTTAATGCCGTGCATTTCTGGGGTTTTGCTGTTTGTTTTGCTTTGATCCGTCTTGTTTCATTTAAAATAATTGAGTTTTAAAATGTTATCTGAGTGAGCAAGTGAAAAGACTGATTTTGACATATTTTTTTTCTGAGCAGCAGATCAATTTGGCTTAATTAAACATAATTAGTGATGGGAAATTCAGCTTTACCAAACAAAATATTTCTCTCTCACTTTCATACTGCTTTTCAACTACAGATTTCTCATTCAATTCTATTGGTATCTCTACAAACCTATAGTTTATGTCAGCACCAGATTTTCAGAGCTGTTCTAATTATTCCACTGAGATCTAGACATTAAGAATAAAGTGATGAGGAAGATAGGTTAGGTTCCAACTTCATAGAACTTATAAAAGACAGAAAGCGGGCAGGCCAATAAAAATAATGTTAGAAAGTTGTAGGTGCTATGATAAACAAACAAGACAATGAAATAGAGAAGTGGAATATGTGTGAATTAAATTTTAGGTTATTGTGTATTGAAGGCTGTTCTGGAGTAGGGATAGGTGAGTGTAGGCCTGAATGATTGAAAAGAAACGGGAGCATAAGTCTTAAGTAGACAGAATGACTAGTGAAAACAACCACAAAACAATAAGCTTGGTATGTTGTAAAATAGGAAAGGCCACTGTGGCTAGGGCATACCAAGAATTAGCGAGGAGAGATGGGTTTACAAAGATGTGGGCCACCAAAGCTGTGGAAGACCTTTCCAGTCATGCTGAGTTTCTGATTTTACTTTGATCAAGTAGAATTATGGGAGGGTGTTAAGTAGGGGAGAGATGTGATGATTTATGTGTCTTAAAAGCTCTTTATGCCCGGGGTTAGGAGGCTGCCCTGGGGATAGGAAGGACATGGAAACCAGTCAGAAGGCAAAAATATGGGCAGCACAGGAAAGTTGCTTGTGCTAAAATATCATGGGGAGATATGCTGAGAAAGACTGGGCTTCAGGATATATTCTTGGAAGGTGAGCAAAAGAGCTCAAAGACACCTTCTATATGTTTTACAGGATCAACTTGTTAATAAAAACATCAACTTAAACAGAGAACTCTGGTGTAAGAGGACATTAGGGATAGAGATGGAGAAATCGAAACTCATGGTTGTTTTAGACATAGTGATTTGAAAATGATTTACTGGGTGTCACAGTGAGACATCAGGGGTAACCTGGAACACAGGTGCAGGCTGCAGTCAAGGCTGGAGATTGCAGAGGCACACTATTTAAAGCTATTGGGCTTGATGAAACCATTTGTGGAGATGAGAGGCTGAGAGCTGTACCCCGAGACTCCCAAGGTTCAGAAGTGAGGAACAGAAGAGGGACATCAGGTGACACTGACAAGGCAGTCAGGGAGGTTTGAGGAAAACTGAAGCAGGAGTCCAGGAAACCAAGTGGAGAAAGTCTGTAATTCTAAGTCTTCATCAGTTTTTATTCTTACTTTTATTTCTTATCTATAAGCAATCATTTAAGCCGTGTTAGCACTACCCCCCCCTCCCCCCCCCCCCCGCCAACGATATACCACTTCTAGACCTAATGAAAAGGCATTTACCATGCTTTGGACCATCCTCTCAGATACCTATGGGGCTGTTTCCCCTCCCTCCCTCCCACATTTTGTCAGCCCAAAACAAGCCCTCTGGGTAAGAGATTTACTCTCTGGCCTTTCCAAAATAAAATGCTTCTCCCATTTCACCTAGCACTGACTTGTGCTAATGATCACAGATACAGACTCTCAGACGAAAGGAGGACTCCAAAGAGAATACTTCTAGGTGTACTGGAAAACTTTTCCTGCTTTCCTTGCAAACTCTGCATTGCTCTTAGAATCAAGAGGGTTTTGCCTTATTTGGCTACATACCCAAATATAATTCAGATCAGCTATTGAAAACACTGAGCAACGCAAACACTGGTTTTGGGAGCAGGAGTTCTAAACGTTACCACCTCCCAACTCTGGCTAAGCCTTGGGAGTTGTAGCTAATCAGTAACTCTGAAAAACTCCTTTTATGGAGGCTTCCCCACAATCAATGAACTCATTTTATATAAATATTTAGCCAGGCAATAAACTGGACAGCCTATATTACTCAAGAGCAGCCTCAAAAGACCTTCCCGATTTATATACACAGCATTTTGGTAAAGCAATACATTTTACATGCATGACATGGTCAGCGATAAATATACTAGGGTAGGTCAAACCCTATTTGGTTCTTTGCTTTTAACTGTCTTGGGCTTTGTGTGTTTCTTTAATCAGTTGGATGATTTAGATAAACAACATGTATTAGTCTTTGGAAGTATAACATGCCTTGAACTTTTTCCAGATATTCATTCCCATTCATCATCATAATAGTTGTTCCCCTTTGGCCATCATTAAGATTAGAAATGTCCTTGAAGCATTTAATGATATTCCAGAAGACTGGACAGACTTTTCATGCTTTGATGAATTGTGATCACTCAGCTTAGACCAATGAAATTGGATAGCCTTTAATGTGCCTGATGGCTTTAAAGAGTTTGGAGGGAAGTACTGAAGCCTCAAAATGGCTTCACAGAACAACTATCTATTTGGAGGAAGATGCATGACTTACATAAAAATTGGTTAGTGAGTTAGTATTTAATCTGATAGCTAACTGCAATGGCCATTATTTTTTTGTTCATACTGCTAAAGATGGTTTTATCTACTTATTAAAGAATTCATCAGAATCCTTAAAAGAGGTATGAAATGATATTTTGAAACCCATATTAGAGGAGCTGCAGAAATGACTCAGCAGTTAAGAACACTGACTGCTTTTACAGAGGACTCAGGTTCAATTCCTAGAATTCACATGGCAGCTAACAACCACCTGAAACTTCAGTTCCAGGGGATCCGATGCCCTCTTCTGACCTCTGTGAGTATTACAAGGCACAGGTGCACTTACACTCATGTAGGCAGTACACTCATACACATAAAATCAAAAGAATAAATAAAATATTTTTTAAAAATGTTAGAAGCCAAAGAATGAAATTCCTCCAAAATGGACCTTTTTACTTAGAATTTTGTTTTTAAATCATGGTTTAGTCAGAACACTCAAAAATGTCCCTGAAATAAGGATTAGTTTTACTTTAAACTAATGGCTCCATGAAGCTATTTACATCCAGACTTAAAGTCAATTTATCAAATACATGTATAACAAAGAAGCAGTGTCAAATGTGATCTCACACTTCTAAAACACAAATCTTTACATTTGTTTTAATGGACACCCGAGTAAAAGTGATGCCTGACCCAGAAGGAATTCCTCCCTAAAATACCATTCTCTGCCACAAGTATGCAAGTCAGGACATAACATTGTATTATTAGAGATATCAAAGGCATTTCCACTTACTTTTACTTTTTTTCTTTCCATTTGATTATTCCAGTGAATTGGAAATTTGGAATTTACTTAAAGTATGAAATTCTGCATGGGAAAATATAGATATATGTTTTCTATGCACCCAAGAAGTTTCCTCTTATACACATCTACCAAATGAATCCTTCCAGAGGATGGCATTAAAGACTATGCATGTTCTCCAGTACCCAGGCAGCTGAGTGTATGTGACTTTCTTGGTCCTCTGCCTGCCTCTCAAGAGGTGATACAATACAACATGCCATTTATGTCTAACTTTGGGACTACATGCCCCCCAAAATTGACTTTTAATTGCTCATTTAGAGGAAAATATTTTAAAACCCCAGATTAGCATGTATTCCAGCCACCCTGGAGCTAAGAAAAATTAGTTACATCTCCTGGTATCTCCAGGTGGCTATTGTGGGAACAAGATAATGCCACAATGTCTGGGTAACATAAGCACACCTGGCATCTTGTCCCCAAATATCATTAAGGCTTTCACAAATCTACAGACTCTGAAATCACTGACACCGGTCTGTTTTAGAGCTGACTGATGATATATCTAAATAATCTTTAAGGCAGGGATATAGCTCAGTAGTACAGTATTTACATAGTATGCACATGGAATTGGGTTCATAGCTAATACCACCAAAATAAATGAGAACAATAAGATAAAATACAAATGTAATCTTTAAGTTCATACACAAACATGATCTGAGATCTGAGAGTCATGAACAGAAATCTGGGTACATGTAGAGGGGGCATTGTGCTTGGAGCCCAAAGACTACATAAAATTTCTGGCTCTACCACTGGCAGTTTAATCAAATCACTTACAGAAATATCCACTTTCCCCTTTATTTGTCAATTAGTTATTGAGCATCTATAATGTGCAAGGTACCATTCTTGGGATATATAAGAGGGAAGAAAAATAGAATTTAAGATTCTATTCCATTGCAGGTCTTGTTTAATATAATTTCCTTCCTTTCAGAATTGGGTCAAATGAGATATAACTGCTTCATGGAATGTCACTTCTGGCCTGCCAAGCACAGCAGTCTCCTGAGGACTTGGGGACTCCTGGGGATGGGCTACAGCACACTGAAGTAGCAGGAACCAAGGACTCTGGAGGACTGCCAGAGAGTGATACAGGGCAAAGAGAAAACCACAGGTATCATCACTACTCCACTGGCTCTTCCTGAACATGTGGGCCAGTAGTTACCAGCAGTACCTTAGTAACTCTTCTCATTAAATAGTTCTTATCTGCAATAGTACTATCTAAGCCTAAGTTTCCCTAACTATAGTTTGTATTCCTCTGGGGATGCAAGTATAGCTTCCAGAGTCCAAGAACTCAATGAAAAGTATGCATTCGAAAAGTAATGAATGAGTTAACAGTGGGAATAGAACAAGACCAGCCTTCATGAGCAGGAAGGAATTCATCAGTGGGCGGCCTTCACACTTAGCTGCACCATCAGCTCTCCTGAGTCTGGAGACCTTGGTCAAGAGAACTGTTACCAGTACTATAGTTGTTATATATCTATCATTTAATTTTTGTTTTTTAAAATGTTTTATTATTTTTATGTGTATGAGTGTATTGCCCGCATGTATGTAAGTGCACCTGTGTCATGCAATGACCCTGGAGGTCAGAAGAAGGTGTCAAATTGCCCTGGAACTGGAGTTACAGATGGTTGTTAGCAGCTATGTGGGTGCTGGGAACTGAAGCCAGGTCCTCTGCAAGAGCAGTCAGTATTCTTAACCATTGAGCCATCTTTCCAGCCCTTGTTTTTTATATATACATTTTGTTCCTGTATTCTTCCTTTACTGTTCTAATTCTTCATTTTTAGCCTAGAGTTTGTTGAGCTTCTCGAGTACAGATTGATGTTTTTCAGCAAATTTGAGTTGCTATTTTTAAAAACATTCCTCTCTTCCTCTCTCTCTCTCTCCCCCCCTCCCTCCCTCCCTCCCATTGTGCACACAGCACTACTCTTAAAGATGTCTCGTGTTTCCTCCTTGTGAATTCTCGCCCTTCTCCAGAATGCATAAGCTTTCTCAATCTGTCAAGTCTGCATGTTTTCCCACCGTTTCAAATCTGCTGAGCCCTTCTAGCAGACATTTCTCAACTTGACAATTTCCATTTCATTATTTAAAAAAAATACAATTCCTTTTCATTGAGGTATTGGTCAGACACTTGAACCGAAAGATGGGGACACTGACCTGCTCAGCAGGAAGCAGTGTTTACCTGTGCAGGCAGGGGCTCAGTGGGGGTATTGCCTTACATGCTTTTTGTTAGCTCCCCTTTGTCTTTTGTTTAGTCCCTTTGTCTTCCCTAACTGGTAACATACATTATGATTGGGTGTTCTATGCCACAGAGTTATGGCAGGGTCACGCATGCATACACTAAACACTGATCATGCCATTACTGCCTTATTTATTCTGGGGAGGCCCTTACTGCGGTATTATCATCATACCTTACTTTACTTCTTTAAGCATCATTTCTTTGAATATATTTATGATTAAAAACCTAAATCTAGTATCTGGTCCCCTCAAGCATTTTCTGTTGCATTTCTTGTTTTCCTGTATTCCTATTTCTTTTGCTGTCTTACAATTTTTGTTGTTGTTGTTGAAAATTAGACATTTTAGGTGTATTGTAGCAACTCCGGCTATTAATTCCTCTCCCCTTACTTTTTTTTTTTTTTTACTTTTTTATTGTTTGCTTATTTGTTTTATGAATTGGCTAGACTGTTTTAGTGGTCTGTTTCTTCCTTTGATATCTTCACAGGATGCAACCTTGGGCATGCACCCTAGAATTATAGTAATTTTAGCAAAGCTTTGATTCTATTTCTCTGACTCTGTCTCTGCCTCTCTCTCTCTCTCTCTCTCTCTCTCTCTCTCTCTCTCTCATTCTTTTTGGTATCCTGACCAGCAATTAAATCCACTAATTGTCAGTAACTGGTTTATTGTTTTGAACCCTGGGGAACAAGTGGCTCAACAGTATTATACAAAAGAATTGGGCTGGGGTAGTTCTTAATAACAGTTTTGAGATTTGCTCTGATCCAGAAAGGACTCTCTTCTTAGATGTCTCTTTTCTTGTTCTCTCTGGTGAGCCAGCTGGCCTGTGGTTAAGCTTGCTGTTCTTAACTAGGAGGTGTTATTCAGGGGTGTTCTTGAACTTCTCCATGCTGTGTTTCAAATAAATTCAGTTTCTTTGGAGAGTCCGTCAATATTCTGTGATGGACTACCTCTCCTTTATGCAAACACTAAGCCAGGATCCTATGTCCCGGGTAGGGCAGCAAACTTGGGTCTTTTTGGCTTGCCCCTCCCAACATGGACCCTCTCAGCTCACATAAATAGAGGGTAGGGGTAAAATGGATCTCAGATTTCATGACCTACCTCACCTGAACACAGTCTCCATTTACAGGTAAGGGCTAGGCAGAGGAAAGAAGCAGGAAACCTTTCAGATGCACTCTGCAGGAATTTAGCCTCTTCATCTTGGAGTCTGACAGGATGAGAAAAGCCAGCAGCCTGCCCCTACTGGTGAGACACAGCAAAAGTGATACAAATACCCAGTGGGATGACAAAGGAGAGGAAGCCTTGTTTTCTTGCTTCATCTATCAAGTCAAGGTGGAAGTTGAGGCAGTAGACCGGATGGGGAGGGGTTCAAATGCCATAGATGCTAGCTTTTCTTAGCCAGTTTGGATAGATTTTCTTGAAGATTGTTCTCATTTGTTGTATGCCGTAGGACACTTCCCAGATACTCTGAAGGGTTGTACTGGTTAGTTTGATCGTTGCTATGACCAAATATAACAAGAAGCAACTTAAGGGAGCAGGGGTGGTATTTTGGCTTATAGTACATGGGGATACAGACCTTTACAGCCAAGAAGGCATGATGGCAGGTGCAGAGAGCAAACAGGAGTGGCCAGACTATAAACTCTCAAAACCTCACCTCTTAACGTTTCTACAACTTTTCTAAACAGTGTTGCCAGCTGGAGACTAGTGTTCAAATACATGAGGCTATTTCTTACATTCGTAGTCCAACAGTGGCTATCTTTTCTTTGTAGTTGTCAGGTTTGCTCATTTCAGCAGGGTGTAGGTGTACAGAGCTTCCCGTGCCTATATCCTAGAAATGCCACTCTTATAAACTGTAGAGATAGCATTGGTGAGACTGTCCAGATGCAGCCTTTATATGGCACCATTGTGTGACTGCTTTGTAAAGATTCACATGCAGCTCTTTATTATAGTGATTTGGGGGTTTTATATCTATTAAATGCCACTTTTTGTGTCTTTAAATTATTTTCTCATGTTACAAAAGCTGAAATGTGGGATTTTAAGTTTTATTTATCATTAGAATGTCTGGATTTTTATGTACCTTTTTTGTGTGCATCTCTAAATGATAACACATTTGCCTATTGCAACTACATAGAATGCAAGGTATCTTCTAGGTTGAAATAATTCAGAAATTGAAGAATGTCATCTTGGGACACACCCTATACAGTCTTCCTTAAAGGAATACTACAGTATGTGTGTGTGGTGTGTGTGTGTGTGTGTGTGTGTATGTGTGTTTGGTGTGTTCTTTTTGAGACAGGGTCTCCCTGTAGCCCCAGCTGTCCTGGAACTCACTATGTAGAACAGGTTGGCCTTGAACTCACAGAGATCCGCTTGCCTCTGCCTCCCGAGTGCTGGGATTAAAGGTGTGCTCCACCATGCCTGGCCTCCACAGTGCATTTTTTAGTATCTACCCACTGAACGACCCAATCTAAGTACAGCAGAGGTCTTGGTACAGTATTGACGTGTCAGCATACACAGGAATAATCCCTGTATAGAGTAGTGCCAAATTGATTCTTTCAATTGTGTAACTAGTTTAATCCCAATAAATGGATGGTTAAAAAAAAAAACTCTTTAAGTTTCTAAAACTTTGCTTCTAGTTCCACATTCAGCTCTACAATTTACCCAGAATTTATTTATGTGCATGGTGGGCGGTATAGCTCCCATTTTTTCTCACTGTGCATCTAATTACCCCAGAAACACTACAAAAACCCTTCTTTTCCCCCTATGGCTTTGCTATGCCATGTGTGTTGAAAGTCAGCTGCTCATATATTTGCAGTTCTGTTTCTTGGCCTTATGTTCTTTTACACTGTACTTTTTTCTGTTTGTGTCAATACCAGGAAATAGTCTTAATTCATCTGCTTTATAGAAGGTGTTAACATCTTTTAATGTCTGTCATTACTTTTCTGGTCATGGAGGTGTTGGCTATTGCTGGACTTTACATTTCCATATTTTAGAACCACAGCCGTGAAGCAAATGAACTTCTTACTTGCAGAACTGTAAGAGAATGAATTTGTGTTGTTCTCAGATGCTGAACTTGTGGCAATTTTTTATCACCATGACAGGCAACTAATACACATCTCCACACTGTTTTCTCCATGTCACCATGAGGAATCTTCATGTCACAAGCACTGATCGAGAAGCTGCTATGTGTTTGGCACCCAAGGCAAATAGATGTAAATGGTTTATCATGAGTGACACAAAAATCCCTGTCTTCAAACACAGACACATAAACTAATTACAGTTATACATTAGATTCGAAAGCAGTATCAGAGAAAAAGTAAACAAAAAGGGAAACGGAGTGCTAGGAAGTGTGGCAGGGAGCATGCTCAGAGAAGACCTGCTCAGAAGGTCACTGTGATGGTGGTTTCTCTTTTGTCAATTTCAGTGGATTTAGAATCACCATGGAAACACAACTCCTGGAGTCTATGAGGGTGTTCCCAGAAAGGTGTAACTGAGAAGAGGCACTCTGAGTGTGGATGGCATCATCCTTGGGTTGGGTTGGGGTCCTGGACTGAATAAAAAGCAGAAAGCAAGCTGAACATCCCCCCTTTTCTTGTGAGTGTGCATATGCACAGAGGGACCAGCCACCTCACGCTCCTGTCACCATTCTTCACCCACCATGATGGACTGTTTCCCCTCACATTGTATGCTATAATTAACCCTTTGTATTAGTTACTTTTCCTGTTGCTGTGTGTTGTGTGACACTTTTCCTTGGGAGACATGACACAAACATCTGTTCACTCCAAATAGGGAGTATGATGGCTAATCCTGGGTGTCAACTTGACTGGATCTGGGATTGACTGAAATGAAAGAGATCTTGATTGGATCATCTGAAGCTGGAGGACACACCCTAAATGTGGGTGTTACCTTCTGATGGCAGCCGGTATAAAAGGCCAAGGCAGAGGAGAATGCCAGGCTTCTTGCTGCTTTCCTTCTCTCTCGCTGGTGAGTTCGTCTTGCTGCTGTAGACTGAAGACTAGCTGATCTTTTGGAATTTGTCAGACCTTCAGCGCCAGATTAGGACTACTGAGACATCCAGCCTCATGGACTGAGCAACTACGGATTCTTAGCCTCTCCAGTGTGGTGTAGCCATTGTTGGACTATTCGGACTCTATCCTGTGAGCTAAACTGATAAATCTCTATACATATATATCCATTCCACCAGTTCTGTTTCTTTGGAGAACCCTAATACACAGGCGCATGGGCAACTCAAGGGCAGCTGCATCACTGACTGCCTAACCCAGCATGAGTGACAACTCATGAAGGCTGGACCCCCAGATTCCTCTGCATGACATTAAGAAAGCTGGGCAGGTTAGAGTCTGCTCTCATCAGCAGTTCTTACTGCTTATCTAACATTAGGGAGGGAAGGCCCCGAGAATCTGTTAAGTTTCAGGGACTTCTAAGTTATATCCTGAGTCTTAATGAGCCTCCACTTAGAACTTTCTGAGTCTTAACAAGCTTCCCTCCGGTATGGAATGTTCCAATTCCAAGGTAACTGCTACAGAATACTGTGATAAAATACCCTGACAAAACCAGTTTAAGGGAGAGGTTTATTTTGGTCCACGGTTGTTGAAGTCATAGCGGCGGGATCTTGAAAGTGCTGGCCACACTGCAGTCAGGAAGTTGAGAATGGCAGTTAGTGCTCAGCTTACTTCCTCCTTTACTCAGTCCAGGACTACAGACCATGGAATGATGCTGCCCATAATTAAGGAGGTCTTCCTACCCCAATTAACCTCATGTAGATAATCTTTTACAGGTATCCCCAAAAAACCTACTCTAGATAATTCCTAACAGGCATGAGCAGAAGCTGTTGTCCTAGGTGATTCTAGATCTTGTGAAATTGTCAATCAATATTAGTCATCACACCCTTGCTCCCTTACATTGCTTCTTGTCAGGTATTTTAACACAGCAAGAAGAAAATAACTAATACAATAATATCAGCAAAAAGTTGAGGAAGATGGAGAAGCAAACTGTATGGATTCATCTGCAAAGTGCTTTATTATAATCTTAATATATACGAAGCTGAGGCAGTAAGATCATGAGTTTGTGCTCAGCCTGGGTTACTGTAGCAATAACTTGTCTCAAAAATAAGTGCCTTCTAAGTAGAGTACAAGCATATGTCACAGTTCTGACATGCTCTGAGAACAGTAAGGAGGCCAGGATAGCTGAGGCTGAATAACCAGGGGTACAGTAGGAAGCAGGTCATAGAACAAGAAGCAGATCCCAGAGTCTTGAAGGGCACCAGGACAAGGTACAACAAAAGTTTTGGGCAGAGAGGAGCAATAATGTTATATTACTCTGGACTGTAGAAGACAAGTGACTGTTGGGGCAAGAGTAGAAGCAGGGAGGCCAGTACAGAGTCCATTGTAATTACTCAGGCAAACATGATCTCGACAGTATCAGTAGAGGGGGTAAGTAGTTGGATTCAGGACACACTTTAAAGGAGACCCAATGGTGGACTGGCTAAAGAATAGGAAAGAAGGTAAAGCTTCAACGATGTCAGGTCAGTGGTCCCCTGTGAACTTGGCTTCTGATATTAATGCCCATACGCAGTTCCTTTCTTTTGAATCTGGGTTGTACCACATGACTGGATATAGGTGATAAATGTGGCAAAAGTGACGCTGGGCCAGTCTGGACCCAAACCTCATGAAGAACTAGCAAGAGATTTTTGTGCTCTTGAAATACTTGTGTTACTGCTTATCAGGGAGGCAGCAGAGACAGATCACAAAAAGACCCTGAGCCTGAATGGAGAAAGATTACTCATATGCTAGCTGGGCCCAGCCTCCAAATTACTCCCCAGCTAAACACAGCACAGCAGGAGCAGCAGGAAACCCACAGAGGGAAGCCAAGCCCAGTTACAGAACTGGGAACAAGTAGTTTTAAACCTCTAAAGTTTAAGGTGACTTATTCAGCAGTGGGAATGTGAAACAGATGACTCCCAAGAGTTCTAGCCTGAGTACTTACAAGAATAGCATTAATCAAATAGGAGGACATGGTTAACAGGTTTTTCAGAAAGAACTTAAAATCTTACCACTTCTCCATGAAAAAAAAAAAAAAACCTTTTTCTCCCTCCAAGTTTTTTCTTAAGTAGTCCTCTATATCTTAAGTACTGCTAGATTCTTTTCCAAGGTCTAGAAGGACTAATTCAGGAATTACTCTTTGGCTCACCAATGTAACAGCAGTAGTTAGAGGGGTTATTTCAGTTTTTTTTCTTTCCAGCTTCTGGAATTGTCAACAACCAGAGAAACCCTATGGCAGCTCGCAGCAGAGAAATCCTCACCCAGTTTCCCTGGCTTTGCCCACTGTAGTTTTAGGGCTTTGGTAACAGTATCACGTAAAGAAGAAATCTCAGTGCTCACACTCCTTCCATGCTTTCCACAACTGGTCATGGTGAACCACCTAGGGCTTGGCTGATGATTCTCTGGAAGCTGAGCAGGCTCCTTGGAGAGAAGCCCTGGCCAGTGTTGGATTTAATCCTTCCTGTGGACAGCAGCTTGTGGGAGAGGAACAAACCGCCTGATCAGTTTGATCAGCTAGGAGTCTCCAATCATAGACATCTGGGCTAGTACCTTGCAGATCTGAACCCAAATTGTGTTGTGTGAAAGGAAATATACTTCTTAGGAATTCTTAATGTCCCAAAACAAATATGAATTTAAAAGGATTACTTTTACATTGCCAATCTCTCATTCACTCCTGTCAATACTGCATGACATCCACCCAATCATATCCCTTTTCCCTGGCTAATGGGCTTCTAGGAAAGGCTTAGAATACACACATGGGTTCATTTCTTCAGACTCAGCCTTCCCTTGGGCCAGTGTTCCTGGGAAAGAGGATCAGCTTTCACCTAGATTGCCTTTGCAGGTCCTCCACATGAGAATAACCACAACTCTTTTTTTTTTTTTTTGGTGTTTTTGTTGTTCAAGGAAAGGTCTCCCTATGCAATCTAGGCTGGCCTCAAACTCACGATTTCACAGTCCTCTTGCCTCAGCCTCCCAAGTCCTGGTTGCTAGGATTATAGGCATGCACCCAGCTTGAGACATGGGATCTCAAAATGAATATCTCATGAGGTTGCTACTGCACGGTCATCATGGAGAAGACACGTTCACGGCATAGTACACTGGCAACCACTGTTTGGGCTCTGAAAACACTAAAGCACCTTTGGGTTAACTTTCTTCCAACTGCTGTTAATATAATTCTAGGTCATTTCCTCTAAGACACTCATCAATCCTTGAGGAAGTTCTTGATGAGCTGCTCTTCAGAGACCATGTAGCCATCATCTTCTTTAAAGTATTCACTTGTGAATTAGGCATGACAGCACATGCTATTAATCCCAGCACTTGGGAGAAAGAGGCCGGCAGAACTCTACAAGTTCAAGGCCAGCCTGGTCTACAAAGTGAGTTCTAGGCCAGCTGGTACTACAGGGAGACCCTGTCTCAGAAAGACGCCCCCCCCATCCCCCCAAAAAACCCAAACAAACAAACAAAAAACTCCTATTCATTTGTCTGGAGCAGTACGGGGTCTGCCAAGTGACTTAGTTGCAGATTTCTTACACTTTCATGGCACATCAGGGGTTACTTCTAGGAAGTGCCGATTTTCTGCCACCTTTGGCTTACTGTGTATAGGGACAAGGCAGAATTCCATGCTTCCCAGAGATTTCCTCCAGCACCTTTACCTGTCTGGGGCACACAGTCCAGAGACAATGACAATAGTGTCTGTGGAACATCTGCAAATTGGCTGTCAATGGCTTAGATATTAGCATGGTCCTTGGTGTACACACTGTTGTCCTAGAAAAAGGATATTGACTGAAATGTTCAGTATTATCATAGATGTCTCCAGAAGTTTATAAAAATACCTGTATTCTTATATTGTCTAACATTAGTCGGAACCAACATGGTATGGGGAGGAAGTAAATGAGATAGTATACAATATCTTTATACAATATTCTTTTTTGGTCTTTTTGAGACAGGGTCTCCCTGTAGCCCCAGCTGTCCTGGAACTCACTATGTAGACCAGGCTGGCCTTGAACTCACAGAGCTCCACCCGCCTCTGCCTCCCAGTGCTGGGACTAAAGGCGTGTACTACCATACCAGGTAACACAATATTCTTAAACCTAGAAGTTACATACTCCCATTAATTCAAGAATAATCCTAGCATCTTCCCTTGTTTTCACCAATTCCCTTCTTTCCCTTCATCCAGTGAGTCAAAACAAAAGAACCCTGCTTATCTGCAAGTACCTGGCATATAGGATGTGAGAAAACCAGGAATCAGGTAGAAAGGGGTTATAAGCAGTCCAAAGAGATGGACTCCTACTTATAAACCAGAATTCATTCATTCCCTTTGCTCACAGACAATCACTGAAGATTAACATCTGGGACTTATCTATATATCATGTATATACAATTCCAATAGCATACCAGCATATACTTCAGTTCAAATCCACATTAAGTAGAGATCAAAAGATGAGAAAGGATCAGCCACAGGCACACCCACAGAGGATGAGGGTTAAGTGGCAGAGCTGACAGGAAAGGATGACAAAGTCAAGGTCATATGGTCACCATTGTCCTGGACAGCACAGGGGCACCAACTGCCCAAGGCGACCTCATAGCCTGGCTCTTCACCGAGCCCTGGATGTCCCATTTCTAAACCCAGAGAAGGTGCACAGTGATGGCCTTGAGGAGTCTAGACCAGTTTTGATTATAACAAGAGAGCCAAACATCTAACTCTCAGCTCTTAAAAAAAAAAAAAACAACAAAAAACACAGGAATACAGGCAAATAGTCAAGGTTACCACATTTCCACGTTAAAAGTGGTCCTCCTAAAGTTCAGTTTCAGAATCTGGGTGATACAGGCTAAATGAAGAATAAAGTTATTTTCTTATTTCTTTCTACCTTTCCTACTTTTTGTAAACTGAAGTTGATTTATGTCTGCTGATACTTTTTTGGGTTTAGTATCTGAAATTGAACATCTGATTGTATAATGAAGGAATTTATATATATGATACAGTTTTGGCTCCACAATTCCACATGACAATCATCCACTAATCAAACTCCACTCTATGTCTTCAAAAGAAGTATTTAGAATACTAGAGAATAAAGTCTGGACAAACTTGGAGGAGTGGTACTCTTTACACTGACCAGTTTTTAAACTCTTCATAAAAAGGGTCTCTAACAAACTCAGACTTTTTGAATGGAATAAGTCGAGAGGAGATGAAAGAAATGGTATTCCTGGTGAAATAGGTCAGATAATTTTCAGACTCCAAAGTGTCCTGATAGTTTTATGTGATCCAGTCCAGCTCCTGAAAAAAATCCTGCCAACAGGTAACAGGTCTTTGAAAGCGTTTGAAGCCAAAGGCTCCCCACCAGCCAGCCCATCTCTTACTAAGTTCTCAGCCTCATTAAGAATGAGAAACAGATACCCCGGCACCAACCTGTCTAGGAGAACACAGCGAGACAAATGTAATTGCCTGTACAAGGAATATAAATCAGCAACTCTCAAATCATTCATATTTACACTCACTCCATTTTGGTTGTCTTTCCTTTATAATTTGGCCATACATCCATGTCAAGTATATAATTTCATCTGAGGCTTTATCAGTTACCGCCCAGAGCCATGATTATATGGTGCAGGGAAACTTCCTCCCCCTGAGTGAGTCTATCTTTAGTATCTTCTTGATAACCACTTCTTACATAAAAAATCAAAAGGAAAGTCTTGGTTTTCTTATGTGGCTCCAGAATCCCTAAATATAATGTTTAGAAGCAATTTATCAACTGCCACCATTGAGCTTCCAGCTGCAGCTACAACTGTTCAAAGCGAAGTGTTCCTATTCATTCCCTTGTTATTTTTATGAAGTTGCAAAGGAACTTCCAGGAGCTTCTTTACTGAGAATTCAATAACACTAAGTTCGACTCTATCTTCCTGATTATAGCTTCATGGAGAAAGGGCAGCAGGATGGATACTGGTATAATTCTGGAAGAAGCAATGTTTTACAAAGAAAATAAAATACAGGTCTCCAATCTAGGGCTCAAAAGATAGACTGAGAAAAGGAGCCACACACTATACCCAGTAATATGCTTCTTTTATTTTTGTACCTTTATCTTAAAAATATATTTAAACAAGAAACAAAGATAATATTGAATTTTCCCATAAAATTTGTTTTCTTATTTACAGTGTTACATTGTAAATAACATTCCATTATACACAAATTAAGACTGTGCATTACTGAACATTCTCTTTACATATTCTTTCATAATTTAGTACATACAGCTCAAAGCTATGCAATATTTAAGCTTAGAAAAGCTGAAGAAAAAAGTACAAACTTTATCAATAAGATTATTTTGAAAGGTTTTGACCTTAATTCTCTGCTAGACTGTTTCACTGAAACCATTCTCTGTTACAAGGAAAAATGCCCCAGATGAGGATGAGAACAACAGTTTAAGTTACCATACCATCCACTTAAACTGACTGACAATAAAAACACCATATTACTATTCACTGCACAATCACGGTCAAGTCATTTAAAGAGCAGATTCACTCTTCAGTTCTGGTGAACACAAGTTGATACCATTTATGAAATAAAAGCTTCCCGCAACTTTAGGATTTACTTGTAAACAGTTAATGCACACATTTTGCAAAGACGATTTGATATTCCCAGTCATAAGTTACATGTGAGGAGATTCTATCCCATCAGGGAGAAGCAAGCACACATACCGCACACCCACACACACCCACACATGTTGCTGCTCACCAGCCAAAGGTCCGTCTGATACCCAGCACTAACTATAGCAGCACTTGTGTTCCAAGCGGTGCCTGAGGTTACAATAGGAATTATAAAACAAGGAGAATAAAACACCCAAATTCAGTTAAATATCCAAAAACTCAGGTTCTGAAATGTGTCAGATACTTCACAGTCAGCCTGGAGGGTCAGTTCACTGGGCTCTCCAGGCGGCAAACCCCACCTTCAATTGCAACTGACTGTCCTGCCACAGCACCAGGAGGGAGTCTTGAAATGTGAGTCTGCAGAGAAAGAGAAAGGAGACTGTCAGAGGTGCTGGCAGAGGCCTCCACATCTGGTGAAGCTGAAGCCAACTTTGAAACGTCACGTCACTTTGCTTCTGAGTGTCTACTGACCATGACGATGGGAATGTGAAGGAGCAGCACGTTCTGTCTGTAAATCATTCAGGAAATATTTACTGGGCATCTACTACATGCATGTACACAGTACCAGTCCCTAGAGATGCAGGGGTGACCAAGACAGCATGATCCCTGATAGCACAGAGCAGAGTTTAGTCTTCTCAAGAGAAATGGCTTCTTGATGTCAACTATATGGGGTATATTTCAGTTGCCTAAATACAGATAATCTGTATACCTTTTGTCTTCTAAATATTCCAAATAACTGAGAATATTGATTTTATATGCATATCCTTAGTCCTTAAAATATTAAAGTAGCTATAAAAATTCAGATAATTTAATAACTAGAAGTGAGGAATTAAGACAAAAATAAAAGCAAAAATTTAGTAAGCTAAATCCAGGATTGAGGCCAACACAAAAGTAAGGCTAAGGAGATCAAGAGGCTAACTGCTGCTCTACCACTGAGGCTCCTTGTGGCCAAAGAACCTACCAATTGCTCAGGTGGGACATCTGTTCCTGGCACTGTCTCCTGTGGACTGTCATAAACAGGGTACTGAATAGAGATGAGTAAAGAAACCCATTATCATATAGCAGGGATTTGTGGGGGCTGAACATTACAACACCACTCAGAGGAGGCTGAGGCTCAAGGCCAGAGTGAAAGAGAGTAAATGCTGATCCACAGGGGTCAGGAAAATGTCAATGGGAATTCTTCTCTTTGGCCTATTACAGGCATAAATAAATGTCAGGAGTTTCTAAGAAGAACTGAGGGGCTGCATAACCTTAAGCTAATCCTCTCTAATTCTCTTTTTCTAAACTTTCCCTAAGGACTAAACCGTGGTGAGTTAAAGTCCACTGAGTGAGGTGGTTAGTGAAGCTGGTGAGTTGGTCAAGCCTATGGCAAGACTGGCATGCTTTTATGAAACCAAAACTGAAGTAGGCACATGATTTAGATTGAGTAACAAGCTCACTGGTTTGCAGTTTGAGGATGGGCATACTACTCTGAATATAAAACTGGGTAAGCCCAATTAAGAACAGATGACAAGGGGCTGGAGAGATGGCTCAGCGATCGAGAGCACTGACTGCTCTTGCAGAGGACCTAGGTTAGATTCCCAGCACCCACATGGAGGTATCCCAGCACTCAGGAGGCAGAGGCAGGTGGATCTCTGTGAGTTCAAGGCCAACCTGGTCTACATGGTGAGTTCCAGGCCAGCTGGGGCTACAGGGAGACCCTGTCTCAAAAAGACCAAAAGAAAAAAAAAAAAAGAACAGCTGACAATAGCAATCTGGAAAATTCTGAAGAACTGGAAACATTCTTTGGGTGCTTAACTTTTGTACGTGCAGGTCAGGAAGCAAACTGTCGTGTCCAGGGTAAGGCCAGTTCACCTCTGGTGTGTGAAGCTAGTCAGGGCAGGTTTCTTAGATCCAGTATCCCTAAGTTTACCGCCTAGACTCAGGCCTCTGGGAGCTATTTCCAGAATCTGGGAATCACCATCATGTCTGATAGCCAAGCTTTGTCACACCATATACCTAACAAGTTCACAGTAAGACAAACTTCTGGATCTTTTGTTTTTTATTATGCTTCCTTCATCTAGAAAGAAGAGTCAGGAGAGAAAGGCTTTGTCTTTGCTACTCTGTGACCCTTACCCCATTGGGCACAAAAAGCTCAAATCTCCTAATTCTCAAAGTTCAGCATTTATGAGAACATTTTCAACTCTCTCAATAACATGAGGTTAAAATTTTGCCTCCCGGGGCTAGAGACTCGATGGCTCAGCAGTTAAGGGCACTGTCTGTTCTTGCATGGGACCCAGGTTTGATTCCCAGAACCCACACGGCGGCTAACTCCAGTTCCAGGGGATCGACACCCTCTTCTAATTTCTGAAGGCATTGCATGACATGGACACACACACATGCAGGCAATATACTCATACACATAAAAAGTAATAAAAAAAATTTTGCCTCCAGACATCATCCATCAATTTTTTTAAGGTCTTCCTAAACAACAACAACAAAAAAGATCCTGAAACAGTAGAAGAGCCTCAGTGAATTCACCCCTAATGCCACTCTCTGGTCATGAACACAGACATGAAGCCATGACAGGAATTAGGCATAAAGCAGAAGTACGATGGAAGACATGGCAGTAGGCTTTCAAAAAACTAAAGACATAATTACCATATGATCAACAACTCCACTTCTGAGTATGTCACCCACCAAGTGAAAGGAGTAACTCAGATATCTATACACCAACTGTGTACAAATTTACAGTGTTTATAGCAGCATTATTCACAATAGCCTTAAGATGGAAGCAACCTAAATGGATGAACAAAATGTGGAATGTACACATGATGGAATATTACTAATCCTTAATAAAGCAGAAAATTCTGACACATGTTCTAACACTAATGAACCTTGAAGGCATTATGCTAAGTAAAATAAGCTAGATACAAAAGGATAAAAATAGTAAGGTTCTACTTATATATGGCACCTAACAGTCAAATGTATAACTACGGAAAGTTCAAATAGTGGTTATCAGGAGCTTAGAGGAGAAGGGAATGGAGGGTTTCGATGTAAATGGCATAGACTTTGAGAAGATGAAAATTTTCTGAGATGGATGTACTGTCAAATGCATAATAATGTGAATATATTCAGTGAATGCACTTCAAATTGATTTAAATGATCAACTCTGTTTTACCCCACAACCTACTCCCCCAATCTCTCTCTCTCTCTCTCTCTCTCTCTCTCTCTCACACACACACACACACACACACACACACACAGAGCAGAAATGAAGTTCCCTAGTTGGTCCAGAATTGGTGTCCACAATGTAATAGCAAGGAATCAATCTAAAATGCAGCTCTCTATTGGAGAAACATCACCACCACTACGTCTACTCACAAACAGATTGGAATTTCCCAAGCAGGTTAGTTCAAATACAGGTTTACAGGAAATCTGTCTTCAGACTTCCCAGACAATTACACAAAACCCAAAGGGATTTCTCAAGTGTCCTGGTGGCTCAGACACCAAGGCCAAAGAGAATAAATTAACTGTTAAGATTAAAGAGTGACAATATTTCCAAGCAGATAGCCTACAAATTGACCAAGGGATGTTAAGTCTTAAAGGAACAATTTCCTGATGACCAAGAAAGAGATCCAGAGCTGGAAGGAGGAAACTCCTGGTGTATGAACTGGGCAACTTGTTGGAATCCCCCGAAACTCACAAAAACATACATGGCCAATCTAGAGTTCCCTTTAACACTACCACCCCACCCTAAGTTTATGATAGTAGAACAACCTGCGTTAAACCACAAAGTGCTTTACCCATCAACATGATGTCTGACTCATCAGAAAATAAGTGATTTTGGTCTGAAAAAAGGCTAAGCCTATATTTACTTGAAGCTTTCTGTGTAGATGTCCATGGGGTATCAAGTCATATAAGCAGCGAGAGCTGATATATTACATCAGCTGTTATATGAGTTTATTTTCAAATTTTTCTTTACAGAAGTAGGTCTGAACCTCTCCTGGGTCCCCCAAATAGACCACTTTCTACAATAAGTATGGTAAAAAACAAAAATCTGCATAAAAGCTGACTGTGGTGGCACTTTCCTGTGATCCCAGCATTTGGGAGGTTGAGGCAAGAAGAACACATAGTAGATGCCAGCCTGGGCTACACAGCAACTCTATTTCAAATAAACAAACAAATATACATGGGTAAAACCCTAGGTTCAGTTCACAGCACCTAAAATATAAAAATTAATTAAACAACAATAGAATTGTGTGTGTGTGTGTGTGTGTGAGAGAGAGAGAGAGAGAGAGAGAGAGAGAGATGCATGCATGTGTGTACATGTGTTCAGAGGCCAGAGCTTGATGTTGAATGTCTTCCGCAATCTCCACCTTATTTTTTGAGATGTTCAATGAATCTGGAACTCACAGGTTGGGCAGCTTGGCTGGCCAGCAATCCCCAAGGATCCTCCTATCTCTGCCTCTCCAGGGCTGGAACGCCCAGTCCAGCTTTCTATAGTGCTGGGGATCCAAACTCAGATCGCCATGCTTATGTGGTAAGCACTTTGGCAACTAAGTCATCCCCCAGCACACCACCCTCCAAAAGAATTTTTCTGTTGAGTGTCTAAGGACTGTGTAGAGTCTAAGGTGTGTAGACTCCATAAGCAGAGGGCAAGGTAACTTTGCAGCTATTTAAACAATACAATTTTAATGCAATTTGGAACTAAAAAAGATACATGAAAATGCAGCAGACACATCCATTTGGAGGTCATCTAGTCATAAGCTTTGATCATGTAACTACTGTTATTTAGTATTCTGGCTCTTTGTTAAGGAAAAACCTATTTGATCAGGCCACCAACTCAATCTAGCACCTTTCCTGTCTTCCATGGGGGTCACGGGAGCATTTCTCATCTAGTGGAGTTTTGGTTTTGACTTGTTTTTTAGCTTCTAATCTAACTGAAAGTCAGTTGAAGACAAAACTTGCCTTCCTTATATCTATTCAAGTGCTTGACACAGAAACACACTCTGGAAGCACAGGGTGGGTAAGCGACAAAAATATACTTCTCAGAGCTCTGTTTATGTACACAAAGTATCTTAGTTGTATTAATCAATGTGACCTATCAGTTTACTTAAGAAGCCAATTAAACTAGCTCTTCACAGTAAAGAGTCTTCTTAGATTTTTAAAAAAGTATAGACTAAAATTTTCCAACTGGGCAAAGAGAGAAAACTGTCTAGAGAAGACTGAATACAGACGTCTCAGATGCAAACAGCTCCACTGGTGGAGTACTATGGCTATGCACCTGCAAATGCTCTGCTTTCTTGCTAATTCCCTGAGCAGCAAAGACAGATCCTTGATGTCAGTAATCCTGAAAAACTATGACTTATAAACTC